AATTTTGAAAAAATTTATATTAAAAATTTGCGGGCCGGGCCAAAACGGGCCGGGCTTGACAAAAAATTTTTAACTGCAGGCGGGCCCGGGCCGGCAAAAAATTTGTAACCCTAATTGCGGGCCAGGCCCGGGCCTTAAAATTAGGAATTTGCAGGCCTCTAATACAGAGCAATGGGTTGGATTTATCAATTTTGACCAAGATCACTAAAAATTTTACCAATAAAATCATAGTCACTTATTAAGTAAAAAGTGCCCAGCTGATAATTTTACTATAGCTTCTGCTAACCAGTATAGCTAACCCTAACGCCGATATATTCCGGCCAGGAATTTCGGGGATTGCTCTATAAAAAATTTCAAAAGAATCTCACGAATATGTAGATATGTTACCAATCCTGCAATCAACAGAAAATCTAGAATCCAGAAATTTTCGTTGATCATCAAAAAAATCATGGGGTCACTCACACCTTTTTGCAAACCGCAATAATAGACAATTTAGAATCTCAGAAATTTTCCTCAAAAATCATGGGGCCACATCTTTTTGCAAAGCGCTATAATCGACAGGGTGATAATTGGGATCTTTGCTAGGAAAATCACTCTTCGAGATTTTCTGATCAGGCTAATTCATCTTTTTACTTTATTGATTCAACAGTTTATTTATTAAACTATCGAATCAATAAAGTAAGAGGTGATTTACATATGAATAAAAACATTTCTGGTCTAAGTTTTTCTAAATTATCCTGATCGGAAAATCTCGAAGAGTGATATTCCTAGCAAAGATCCTAATTATTGATTACTTTCAAAATGTGAACAATTATTTGCATATACCTATGTGGGAAATCAAAGAATTTGGAATTTAGATTAGTAAAAATTAAACTTCCGATTAGAGCGGGTCTTGAAAACAGAAATCTGGGAAATATCATGAATTCCTCATGTACCTTGAAAACAGCTGTAAAATCTATTTCCTGATGTAGCATATTTTACGTATTAGAGCAGATTTCGTGTAATTCGGGCATAATTAGTATAGTTTTTGGCAGATTAAACATAATGATATATTGGTGAAGACCCTGGGATTCAGATGTAGAAATTAGTGACGAGAGTGTTCCTTGGAAAAGTGAGAGCTAAGGTCAGTTTTTTTAAAATAAAAACACATGCAAGTAAATCACATGATCTGTACTACCCATAACAATAACAGATAAAACGCGTATGATATCATCATAACAGAATTAACGGTTTGACTTGACTTGACTGTGTCAAAAATGGATGTCACTCAAAGGTTTGTTTTTGCATTATTATTAATGCTTTTAGTAAAATTTTCACTAATTGCTTTACGAAAAAACTAGTGGTAAAAATGAAGCAAATTCGACTTATAGCACTCCAATACGTTCACGTCAAGTAGGCATTTCGGAAACAACCCCAAAGAAAATAAAGCCTGTAAATAAAGACTTGTCCGTACCTCCAGATCGAACTCCAACTTCTGCATTACGAAGAGGAATACTCAAGCCAATTTCAAACGTATCAAGTAATAAAACTCCGTCTAATGTACCTTCAGTTACCTTTAATGAGTCGAAGTCACAAAAACGCGATCACAACTCGGGATTGATTAAAGTTTGTTTAAAAAATTTTATTTTTGAATATAAAAGTTTACTAAATTTAATGTGTAATTGTTAACTTTTTTAACAAAATTTTATAAGGCATATTTACGAATTAGACCCATAAATTCGGAAGATGTAATAAAACCTTATATTCAAATTATAAACGACACGGAGGTTGTAATGATTCCCCCAAAGGTTAGGTTTTAAATATTATGATTCTAAAGCATCAATGCATAGATATAAAATGCCGAATGTCTACAAATCAATCTTAAACCATTAGGATTCTCATGCCTTTAAAACATGCAATAAAGGGCCAGAAAAATATATGTTTACAAAAGTTTTTGATGAAAGAACATCACAAAAACGTTTTTTTTTGGAAACAACGCTACCGCTAGTAAAAGGTGTACTAGAAGGAACCAACGGATTAGTATTTGCTTATGGTGTAACAAATAGCGGCAAAACATATTCAATTCAAGGTACTCGAAATGAAGAAGGTATATTACCTCGAACATTAGATACAATTTTTAGTAGTATCAAAAACCTAGAAAGTGAAGCGCAGGTAATTACAATGCAATAAAATTAAGTTATATATTATGTTTTATTGATTTATGTTATATTTAGATCAAACCGATCAGATACAATGAAATAGAAAATTACAATGGAAACGAAACTATTGTTCCCCCAATTATTATATCAAAATCGCATATGGAAAATCCATTTATTTTATCGGATTCGGTTGGTATCCGTATTACCAAAAAAGAATTAGGAATTTTTTAATAAACATGAACTTAATCACAATTGTTACATAATAGAACTCATCGTCAAACAAGAGTAACAGTGCCAAGATAGAAGACTCTGATGCTCTTGATTTAACGCAAAAGCTTGATAACATAGGTAATTATACGACTTTTGAAACTAATTAGTTATTTGATATAACAGCACATATTCAAATATTTCGCAGCTGTAGATGTCGATAAACAATTTAGGTATGCAGTGTGGGTTTCGTACGTCGAAATTTATAACGAAAAAATATATGATCTTTTGGAAGACCCTGGAAGCGCAAAGCAGCCGGAGAGCAAACGAAAAGCATTGATCGTAAAAAATGATAAACGAACTGGAAATAAGTATCTTAGTGACATTAAAGAAGTTCGAATACGTAATGTAGAAGTAAGTTTATGTTTTATTATTTAAAATTTTTATTAATTATATTAAATACGTTGATGACTATTTTAACTAACCTTTTTAGGATGGATATTCTGTGCTTAAGCAAGGCATGAAAAATCGACAAATTTTTTCGACACTGGCTAATGAGACTTCTAGTCGAAGCCATTGTATTTTCATGATAAAAATAATAAAGATACCATGTGACAAAGATACCGCCACAGAGGTAAATTCAATTAAAGTTACATGAACAATGATTTATCACAAGATGGCATGATGTGTAAATTACAGAAATTATTTTTATAAAGTTGTCATCATCCTTTGTCGTAACGAGTCGGTTATCAATAGTTGACCTTGCGGGTTCAGAACGGACAAAAAATGTGCAAACAACAGGTAAGATATTAGAATGGAAATTTTAATGTTAAATTTGTTGCATTTACACATTTATTTATTTATTTATTTTTAAATTAGGTACAAGATTGAAAGAGGCCGGAAGCATAAATCGTTCACTAATGGTTTTAGGACAGTGTCTCGAAATATTACGAGCGAATCAGTCACGACAAAAGGGTCAAAAAGTTAGTTTTTTTATTTTTTATTTTATTTTTTTCTAAATCATAAATGACATTATATTTGTATGCTCACATGATTATATCCTGATTATGTCGCGCTTTTTTTTTAAAGCATATTTTGGTCCCCTACCGTCATAGCAAATTAACGGAACTATTTCAGAGTTCATTTGCTGATGGTGAATCGGTATGTATAAGAATACGACGTTTGAAAACATTTAAACTACACTTTAACACTTTAATTATTGCCCTTAGGTTATGATTGTTAATATTAATCCAGTCGATACAGGCTTTGATGAGAATGTGCAAGTTATGAAATTTTCGGCTGTGGCAAAAGATGTTTGTACCTCGTTGAAAAATATTTCAAGCCACTATGGATATAGAGGTACATTGCTTTTAACACCAGTTAAGGTTGCAAAAGGTAAGAAGACAGTTACAGTAATCGATTTTTTGACATAATGAAGTTTAACACTTTATGTCTATTCTGTCCTAGAAAATAAAACATGTGAGAATAGCGATTCAAGGTCTGAAGAAAATTATGATGCGTTTATTAACATGCTTTTTGCACAAATAGAAGACCTTCGTGAAAAAGTATTTGGTTTTGAATATCTTGGTTTTGCTGCACATAGTCTACGTAATTAAAAGATGATCATTATTCGTATTATATAGTGGATAAGTGCCGAGACGCGCTGTGGTAAATTGAAACTTGAAATCCGAGAACAAGTCTCTGATGAGCTGGCTGTTCACATGTCAAATATTGGAAAGAAGTACATGGACCAGGCAACAGAGTCTATGGAAAGACAAATGGAAATTATTCGTCGGGATACGCCTTCCACAATACATAGTGGTACGCAATCTTATTTGATTAGGGTATTTAATATTTGTTTAAAATATTTTTACTTGAACCAAAATATGTAATTATTTTTAGGTGTTTCTTATTACCGGTTCTCTAGTAATTTAGTTGATAAGGTAATGTATAATTAATATTATCCGATTATTTCATATGATGTTATAATTAATAACAACAATAATGATAATAACACAGTATATGCATGATCTCATATACCTATATATTTTACTTTAAAGCTACAAAATGAAATAGTGGAATTAGAAAATGAAGTCGACAATATGGAAAATAAATTAAAGATCTGTGCTTCTTTGCTTAATGATAAAGACGCGCTTATTGAAAAACTTCAGGTTGAAAACAAAGAATTGGAAAAACAGGTTAGTATCCTTGAATTTACAGTATATAAATCTATATAAATATATACTGACTTTAAGATTTATTATAATTTAATTAAGGTTCTTTATATTGCACAAAAACTTGATTATGTTGATATAGAAACTGAAGACGATTCCAACTTAACGGATCAAGAATTGAATGCAGTAAGTATGTTAGAATGTTAACATTAGCTATTATTACTTAGCAATAAACACTATAATTTAGCTATTTATTATCAATACAGGTGAACATTAATAAACCTTCGGAAGAAACTAGTTTAAAAGGAGTTGAAAATTATAATTATATTTCCCCGACAAAGCAAGAATATGATGATCGAGTAGAAATATCTTTATTTGAAGAGAATGATCGGTTATGTAGGCTAATATTTATAAATTTACACGGTAACAAGTAATTTCGTGTACTTAGTTGTGTACTTTAAACATAGATGATATTATTGAAGAATGTGATGAAGAGGTGAAGAGTAACGTCAGTGACCTTTCAATGGCTATCTATGACACGGAATGTCGAGCAGTCGATAGTCAAAAGCGTACACTGGATGAAATTAATTCTCAAAAAGGGGAGGATCCACCTAGAAAGAAAAAGTAAGTTAATAGAAAAATTTTTTTTTCAGAATATAATTTAATATTAAATATTAAATTTTTTTTTCTATAAAGAAAATTGCGAAATAAGAAGACTTATTTCGAAACAGAAATCGAAGAAGATCTTAACAAGGTAGGCATATATCATTTATTTACATATTTTCAATATTATAAACTGAAAATTGGCTTCAATTTGTATGTCAGGTGTCGCCACCTAAGATGAAGTTGGTATCGAATAGAAAGACATTAAGACGATATTAAATTTTTTTAAATGTAATCTATTCTATATCTATAATAAACTAAAGGTTCATAAGTAACTTATATACAACGAATTCTCATTAAACTATTAGAATTCTTAGGTTATGTTACCATCGCAACTAGTGTTTCAAGTTGGTAAAAATTTTGCCAATCGATTAGTTGGCAACTGGTTGTTTAGTTATATAGTTGTATAGTTGATATTAAACTAATCTATTGCTACAAATCAATGCGCCCAACTTAAATTGGATCATAAATTTTAAATACTTTATGGAATAAACCTTGGACCCACCAGACTAATGCAAATTAAACGATTCGAAAGGTCTTGTATAAAAGGTAAGTGCTATATAAGCTTGATTTACGAAGACTTAAGCTATAGATGTTTCTTAATAATTATATGACAAATCGATTAGTTGTTTAAGCTTTTTTTATTGCGGTTTGCAAAATTGTGAAATTTGCATCAAAAAAAAAAAAGAAATCGATGATTTCTGATTCTGATTGCCGACATTTTTTTGCAGAAATAAAAGTTGTAGATTCATAATTTTATAACATATTTTGATTTAGCATCTTTGTAGGAATATAATTTGCATATTCATCATGTTGTAAAGAACTTACTAAATTTCGTTTCTTTTCTAGCAGATAAAATTTACTATTGCATGATAAGCGAGAAGACAATTTAAAAGTTGCACCAAATTCAATCTTATAATAATTAATTTGTTTATTACTGCAGTACTGATAGAATCATGAAATTTCAAAGTAAAAGTATAAGGAACTTTAGTATAGCTTTTTATTGGAATATATTTTTTCATTATAATAAGTACAAAAAAGACATTTTGTGCATTCAAAGCATGTTCCGGGATAATAATTTTGGCCATTAGAAATGATTTTTTATAAAAAGATGTATGCTAAATAAATAAATATATATGTGTATGTATAAGTCTTTATATTAGTTAATGTTAAAGAAATCAAAAATCGATTTTTTTTTTTTTTGATCTGCAAATTTCACAATTTTGCAAACCGCAATTGATTTTTTCAACTAATGATTTGGAACACTAATCACAACCTCCCACATCAAAATAGAGTGGGTTCTTATCTAGTAAATTGTATAAAGCCTAATGCCGTAATGTCTTGACAGGTAAAATTTATAAATACAGTTGGCATTGCCCACACGCATGCCGTCTTAAATTCCAACATCACCGAAATATCAGATTAGAAATATAAGTATATGTGAAGGTGAATTAAATAGTATATCAATTGCTGTGAATGAAATTTGGCTAACCCTAGGAAGAGTAATGCTGTTGCATCTAAATATGTGCACACATGAATATATAATAATACTTCTATGAAATGATTTTTTATAAAAAAAAACTTTATACATAAAACAATGGGCAAAGAGAATTGATGACGGATGCGTCGAAAGAATATTTCGTGATAAAATACGATCTATAAAACTTTGTAAATTTTTAACTTAGCATACGCAAATTTTGTATTAAGTATTTATTAGATCTAAAGAGCAATAAATTATTTTTAAATTCGTTCACTAATATTTTAAGCAAAAAAATGTTTACCACGTTTAGTACCAAAAAATTTATCAAAGGAAAAATTAAATGGTGTGGACATGGTAAAAGATTGTTCTTAACTTGATATGTATAGTCATTAGTAACCAGCTAGTTGGAAGAAACTAGATTTAAGACAAATGACTAGGCAATTATTCAAGTTGTCTTGATTCGGAAGATTTGAAGGTGAGTTTCTTTAGTGGTCTTACTTGTTTGGCTATTATGGGATAAGTTTAACGAAATCAAATCGGTGTAACTATAGTTTTAGTTTTAGCTATGGATCAATATATATATATATATATATATATATATATATATATATTTGCTATATATATTGGATATTGGGATCTTTCTTAATAAAAATTTCATTTTTAAACCAAAACTATTATGTTACAAGTAGATGTGAACATAATGCCATAACTTGTCGTAATTATAATGGGTTACGGCAAGAAATGTTGTAACTCATTATAATTACCGTTCACATCTCCAGTTACAAAAGGACTGAGAAATCTTTATTGTAGGTCCTCGCCATAAAAAATTCTTTTTATATTTCAATCCAACATTTTTTATAATTAAGCGAATCAGTTAAGATTATTTGCTAGACCTTTCGGACTACTTCAATTTTGGTCCTGACCTTGCCCGTATTTTACGTTCGTCGAATTTTCATTCGGAATATTTCGGACCCCGTACTTGATTTTATGCGCAAATCTTATCAAGAGCGGGGACTTCACAAGACTTTATAATAATTCGAATTTATGATAGGGTTGATTTATATAGTAAGGTGGTTGTCATTGGGTTTATTGCGATCGAATAGTAACAGTTCGAATTCGAGATTCTTCGCAATTCATTCATTCTGATAAAAAAAAAAAGTAAAACTCGTTTCAAAAGAATGCGGACTCCTTGTATCTTTAGTACGAATAGAAACGTCATTTATTTCAGTTCTTGATTTTTAATACGACTACGAGGTATATTTTGGATAGAAAACAATAATGTGCATCACACGTTAATTGGTGCTTGAATATTACTAATTCATGGCATGACCGAAAAAAACAAAATCGATCACATGCACGAATACAAAGTTATTGAAATAAAAAGGTTTTGGGAGTAATGATCAATGATTACTGTTTATTGTAATGTTTTTAATGAACAAATGACAAATATCACAAAGCATAATAAAACGCTGGTATTATCGTTTTTACAGGCAACTGTGAGATGAGAAAAAGGAGATTAGTAAATCGGGAAACTTTATGAAATATGTTTTAGTGTAATAAATATAATTTAGCAAATAAAAAACACCTAAATATGATGAGATGTCAGGGTATCACCAGAAGTTTCACCGTATGATTCATCTAATTTCCTTTTTTTCATAATACCACCATCAGATAAATCCACAACGACAGGCCGTTTTATAGGAGATTGTTTTTGTGATACCATCCAATCCCAAATTTCAATTTCATCAACAATATCATTTAATATATCCTCAGCTACATATTCCATATATCTTTCAGATATTGGACGCCATTTACGTACACCATCAGTTATATTTGAAGATTTCTTTGAATTGTTATTATCATTAGTAGTTGATGAATTGTTTAAAGAAGAAATTTCTAGTTCGGGATCAGGTGGTGGTGGATATCGAAAATGAGGACCAAAATTTAAAGTACAAGTACCACCACGAAACATTGATACAGCAGGATAATAACCAAGAGAACCATCATCTTCAGTTAAATCGTCATCATTAGTGTATTCATCAACGGTAGGGAAAAAAGAAAATAAATTTTCAAAAGCAACACCTTGACATACACCATTCTTATAAATAATAATTTTTGAACCAGGTAAAGTTGAAAATACAGGAGGTTGAGAAGTTGAAGAAGTTTTTGATTCATCTTGTTTTTGTTGCCACCAATATTTTTTTTCATTTTTTTTTTCAGGTAATTCCAGTAATTGATTCATTTTATGAGTAGGTTTAAAGTCTTTATATTCAAACATAGTATCACCTTTAAATAATATAGGAATTCTATGCCTTTTTGGACTTATTGGTTGATATCCAGGAAGAACTTTTTTTAATGAAGGTAAACATATGTAAAGACCAATAACATCACCAGTTTTAAAAGGTTCACCATAAGGATATAATCTTGATTGATGTATTTTATGACCAGTGAGATCTCTGAAACCATAACTATAACCATCAGAACCAACAGGAGAATTACGATTTCCTATAAACATAAAATTAAACAAATGATATAAAGAAAATAATAATAAACATATAATTTTTTTAAAAAAATAGAGTTTTTAAATATATATATATATATATATATATATTGATATAATAATTAAATACCTTCTCGACGAGCCCAACCAACTCTGACATGAGCAGCATCTTTTCCATCAATTTTACCTTCACCACCTCGATCAATAAAAACTTCATAAAACCATTGACCTTCTTTTACAGAGCAATTCGCTCTAGCCATTGAAAAACCAAATTCAGTAGTAGTAGTTAATTGATCACCACTAATCCATACAGATAAACTTGCATCCTCTTTAGAAAGACGTACACCATAAGGAGATAATTCAGAATTACGATATTGTATATATGGAAACAAATTATCAAGTTCACAAGGTAAATATTTGAAACCATGGCGTAAATTATTTTGTTCACCAGATTGACCAAATTCAGTATTAGAAGAACTTGCTTGAATTAAGGCAATTACAGCATTTGAAGAATTTGATTGCATTGCAGGTGGAGTCATACTTTGCTCATTAGAAGTTATTGAAAGTTTTGAAGATGAAGCATGTGCAGAAGAATTATCATGATGATTTATACGGTTATTATTATTAACATCTTTAGTTGATTTAGAAGGAGTTCGAGAATGAGATGTCTAAGGTGAAAATATTAATATAAAGATTTGACAATAATAATAATAATAATAATAATATAATAATAATAATAATAATAATAATAATAATAATAATAATAATAATAATAATAATAATAATAATAATAATAATAATATAAAAAGATAGAAACCCCAAAATGTCCTGGCCTAATATTCCATAAATTTGGATCGACTAGACAAAAATTTGAACTTGCCGAACGATTGTTTTCATCTTTTGCGACAAAAAGATCTTTTGTTGAATATAAACATGAACCAAGAGTGGCCCACCTATTTAATAACAAAAAATTTGAAAAAATTGAGAAAAGATAATAAAATTAAATAAAACTAATAATGATAATAACATTTAAATATATTAATATACATACCAAGTTGCAGTCCTAGACCGTTCAGTGCATAAAGAAGACCAATTTTTATCTACAAACGGACGTAAATGTTCATTTTTATTAAAATAATAGCGAAATGGAGACAAATTCGAAGAATTTGCAGATAGATAACGGCTATCTCCTTTTGAGGCATTATGATCAGCCATGTGTTGCTGAAGCATAAGATTTGCAATCGCGCAACCACCGATTTCTTTCCAACCAGCTTGACATCGCTTTATTAATAGTAAAATTTTAGATCAATAAATTATTTAAAGAAAATTATAACTAATAACTTGGATAAATACCTTAAAGTTTTCCTCACCCGAAGGATTACATAGTTTACAATGAAATATATAGTTGGTAAAAATTGGAATAGTAGTATCGACCGAAATTTGAATGCATTTTACATGAAACCAATTTAAACAATCTGTTAAGTCAAAAATAAGGAATAAATTTTAATAGATCTATTTAAGGTAACAGGTAACAGGTAATAGAGTAAAAATAAAAGTAGTATACCAGAACACTGAAGAGACACCTCAGTTAAGTTTCTATCACCACCACAGTAACAATATTGATGTTCTTTATTTACAGTATGCGCGTCATTCCAAGTAAGCTTTCTTGGATCATAAGACGATGACATAGTACAAATATCGTTTAGTTGAATAGAGAAAAAAAAAGAGTTAAGATGATTGGTCCGTTTTAAATAATAACTATTTATAAATTTTTTTTTAAAAAAATACTTTTTATGGTAAAAAAGATTTTTTATACGTACTCAGATGGGATGTCCGCAGTTTTGAGTACAAATCCCTCACCTAGCATATGTTATATATATATACAGTGTATATAACTTTAATTACCTCATTTTGCAAAAATAGCATATAAAATAGCACTAACTAAATTCTACCAGAAGGTTTACTTTTAATTTTTTAATTCTATATGTTTACGTATACGTAGAATAAATTTTATAAATTTGGATGTTTTCGTGATATCGTTAGTGCTAGAATTACACAATCTAAAAAAAATTATTGCTAGGAAATTTAATAATATATAATTGTTGTTCATTCAACATCAATGTTATCGCTCAATAACAGATAACGATACCTGACACGTACGTACCAAAAATTAATTAACAGTTAGTTATTATACGTATATAAGTTATATTAACTTTTTGTGTCTTAATAAAAATGTTTCCATAAATAATGATAAATTGGATTACGTAGTGTTAAATTAAATTATAACAATTTTTACTAAATATAGGGAATGTCTAAAGCCACTTAATCATTAACTGAAACGTACGTATGTACGTACATACGTATAACTGATATATACGTATAACTGATATATACTTATAAATTGAAATGTTAACTATTATTTGAGGGAGGTGGTACGTATGTACCTATTTTGTACAGTACACAAAATGATTAAAAATAATCCGAAAAAAATATTTGATCTGATTCATTCAATCAATTCTTAAAACAGAATAAAAACTAACGGTAATAGATAATGTAAAACTGGGTCGATTCTGTTATTTAATGCCGTCTTATTACTGTATTAAAAGTTCAATAATTTCTTCACTATTTTAAATCAAATAAAGGTTTAAATTGTAAATTACAATATTAGATAACGATAATCATTAAAGTGAGATGCATTTAAGATCATCTTTTTAATACTGTAATAATATGTATATATGTATAAAATGGCATCAAAAATTAATTTTTTATAATAAAAACTTTAAGCCTATAGATAAGCTGGCCAAATTAGTTTATCAAGTTTTTGTTAAACATTACTGTATTAAGCTATCTTTTTCTTTAAAAGAAAAAAGAAAACTTTGTTTGGTTTCTATTGACTTACCCCCAATTTACCTCACTTTATTGAACATTTCGGACATAAACTTTTTCCAGCTCAGAACGTTATTGAATCTTAAAAAAGCTAGGTAGTACGTTCAAACGGTATACAGTCAACCTCCATATATACATATTGTCGAGGAAAAAGTGACTTGTAAAATGTTACATGAACTGTAGCAGTAGATGATCAAAGTGTTAGTACATATAAAAGGAAAATGCAAAGTTTTACACATTTAAATAATGTAATGACCTCTGTTGTTGTATTGTTTTCAATTATATCACTAATTATATCAATATCTTTAATTATATCATTATTTAATTAATTAATACAACCTACTTTAGTATCCTGGTGATCAAAATAAATACAACGTATTTTCTTGTAAAATAATTTTCGTTGGCTGGTTCAATGCATGTGTATGTTGCTAGTGCATACTAGTGCATAATTTCTTAATCTCTTGTCTAATGTTTAACGTTATACGTTAAACTTTTAAATTGCTTCCTATAATTAAATCGAACACATAGCCAAATATTTGGTTTAATCTTCGTATTTTGAATCTCCTATTTAAATGACTCGGCCTCCTTCTTTCACAAACTCGACCGATTTTGGTTCTTTTTCTCAAAAATTTTACGACCAATTTTGGTTCTTTTTCACGACCAACTTTTTCTCATAAATTTTAATTAATCAATTCCAATTATGAAATTCTTACCAATAAGTTCACTTTTCATTTTCGTGCTTGTAGCATTCAATTTTGTTTCAGCACAACAACCAGCAGTGCCAGCACCACAAAATGTCTCCTCTGCATGTCAACAAGAAGTTATTAAACTTGCTTCAAGCTCAGACCTCAACAGTTGTGCTTCATTTATTAAATTATATGCATTGCAAAATAAAACAATGCAATCTGCTGCTTCTCTAACACCAATCTATGATAGTTATTGTGCTGCGCCGAAATGCAATGATAACATCACTTCTGCTGATGCTGTTGAACTTCAAACTCAATGTCAATCAGAACTTGCTATGAAAGATCCTACCACTTCTTACTTACATACAATTCTTGTTTTAAATTCCCCGGTAAAGGATTCATTGTGTTTCAAGAATTCCTCCGGAGGATATTGTGACATGGATGACAATTCTGCTGCAGTATTAAATTACCTTCTTGGATTGAATTATACTCAACCTACTGATCTTAGTTGTTCCGATTGTAATAAAGCTATTTTTAATACTTTTGCGAATTACTTTAAATCTAATCCTCAATCCGTGACTACCTTATCGATTGACCCGACGTCTTTTGAAAATTTTGTTATATCAAAGTGTGGTTCTTCTTTCTTAGGTAAGCTATATATATATATACGATGTTTTATTTATATTACTTAAATTTATATAAGGTTTTTAATTTTTCCTTCTTTTCGTTATAGATGGAACTGTTCCAAATACCACTAGTGCTCCAAAGAAGAGTAGTGGCATCTCTATACATTCTCTATCTTTTATTGGCTTTTCAATGTTCGCAGCTTCATTTATTAGTTTAATTGTTTATGTCATTTAGTTAAAGCATTGTTCGATTTAATTTACGAATATCCTAAAGTTTAAGATTTAATTACGTACAGTACCTTATATAGTATAATCATTAAAATGATAATGTTTTTACTTTTTTCATTTGTCGACAAATATTTTGCTTATGATTTTATTATTACAATAAAATAATTTAATATAGCATATATTTAGTCGTATATATAACATAAACTTTATTCTCTATATATGTCATGTTGAGTTGTTGTTTTCATATTGACCGATGAACTTAACTTTCATGGTAATGTCGAAAGTTAATATGACTTTATAACCTTTTAATCCTCCTGGTCTTGTATACGCACACTTACAGTAATATAAAATTTTATTATACGTACCCAGAGTCGACTGTATGAGTGACGTCAAGGAAAAATGGGACATTGGTTTATTTAACAAATGTCTCATTTTCCCTTGGCGTCACTCATATGTCGATCTCTATTCTAATCGACAATGCTTGGCGATGATGTAATTATACGATAATGATAATAAAATTTAACCAAATATTAAGTTACATATACGTATCAGTAAAATAATCAAATGGCTTGACTTAGAGGGAAAATTCAATGTGAAGTTATGCAGCTACGACGTACTTAGGTAATACATTTAATAGTGTAATAACCTTTGATGCAGTGCACCTGTATGCATCTGTATGCAACTAGTGCACAATTCTAATTTTAAATTTTTTAACTTTTAAGTTACTTCCTATAGTCACAATTCTAATTTTAAATTTTTTTTCTTTAATTTTTTGCTTCTTATAGTTAAAGTTCGAACACAACCAAATATTTTGGATTTTAGTCTTTATATTTTGATTATCATATTATTTAAAATATTTAAAATATTTAAATGAACTCGGCTTCCTCCTTTCACAAACTCGATCAATTTTGGTTCTCTTTATCAAAAATTTCAATTAAAATTCAATCATGAAATTCCTACAAATAAGCTCACTTTTCATTTTCATGTTTATAAATTTCAATTTTGTTTCTGCACAACAACTACAAATACCATCAAATATCTCCGCTTCATGTCAAGCTGAAATTCAAAAACTTGCTTCAAGCTCGGACCTCAGCAGTTGTGCTTCATTTATTAAATTATATGCATTGCAAAATAAAACAATGCAATCTGCTGCTTCTCTAACACCAATCTATGATAGTTATTGTGCTGCGCCGAAATGCAATGATAATACCACTTCTGCTGATGCTACTGAACTTAAAAGTCAATGTCAATCAGATCTTACTGCGAAAGATCCTACCGTTACTTACTTAAAAAATGTTCTTATTTTCAATTCCCCGCTAAAGGATTCTTTGTGTTTCAAAAACTCTTCCGGGGGATATTGTGATTTGGATCCAAATAGTGATTTGATAAATTACATTATTGGATTGAATGCTACTCCTCCTGCTAATATCAGTTGTAACGATTGTAATAAAGCCATTTTAAATTCTTTTGCGAATTACTTTAAATCTAATCCTCAATCCGTGTCTGAATTGTCGTTTAATACAACGTCTTTTGAAAATTCGGTTACAACACAGTGTGGCTCTTCTTTCTTAAGTAAGTTTTAGATAGATATATACTATATATTTATATATTTATATTTATTTATTTATTTATTTTAATTAAATTTTCTTCCTTTTCATTATATAGATGGAACTATTCCAAATACAAATGGATCTAATCCTAGTTCTGGCTCTAATCCTGGCACTGGCACTGGTTCTGGCTCTAACTCTGGCTCTAACTCTAATCCTAAAACGGGTAGTGGTGTCTCCATACACTCTCCATCTTTTACTGGCTTTACAGTGTTTACGAACGCTATCATCGTAGCTTCATTTATTATTTTAATTGATTATGTTATTTAATTAAAGTATTGTTTGATCTACGAATGAAGTTATAGGATATTCTAAAGTTTAAGATTTAGCTTACGTTATATAATCATTGTAATGATAATGATTAAATTTTTTTTTACTTTTTTTCATATTTGTCGATAAATATTTTGCTTATTATTTTATTACAATAAAAATATTATAATATAGCATATATTTAGTCGTATATATAACATAAACTTTATTCGTGTTGTGTTGTTGTTTTCACGTTGGCCGATGAATTTAAATGACCTACGTGATCTTTATGACTTTTCGTAGGTCATTTAGTCATAACGAAAACAGTTATAACTTTATAACCCTTTAATATAGTAAGAATAAAAGTAAAAAAAAAATTATTAGCATTTAACACTGTAGGATCATTTGGTAATACTGTAACTAGAGATGGTAAAAAAAACGGTTTAACCGATTTTTTAAACGTTTTTTATTGGTTTAAACCTTTTATTAAAACATCGAAGTCTGAGATAAAATTTTCTGATTAATTAATTTTAATTTTTTAAAAAAGACGTTGCTATATAATTTCAAATTTATTACTATAGATATTACGTAAAATAAATAAAAAAGAGTTCAAGGTTTCAATATTGTTATTATATAAACCCATTGAATAAGTTTTTGCGAATGAATTATTTGAAGAACCAGAATCCTGCTTTTTGAGTTTTTAACAAATCTTATATATTTCTTGGAAGTTTTTACATTTTAATGAATGATTAGTGCTTGGCAAAATCAAACAAAGACTTGAAAATCAAGTTTTTGAATCTATCGATTTACAGTATTGTGCTTTAATTACAAAATCTATTTTTACTCTTATCTGACTTTAAACTTCATGATAACGATAAGTTACCACGAAGTCTAAAGTAAGATCGGATGCCTATTAAATTTATATATTACTAAAAATAAAATTTGTATTTAATGCCCAATAACGATAACTGTAAATTGATAGATCAAAAACTTGATTTTCAAGTTTTTGTTTGATTTTGCCGTGCGCTATGAATGACCTTTTAATTGGTCAACTAAATCAACAGTCTTCATCGCAATAACTACATTTTTGGTGATTCTTGTAAATTTCTTTGACGAGAATCTTCCACGAACATGATTTTTTAAGATCGTGTTTTAAAACATTTGCCATCTTTAACTGTAACTGAGGGTTGTCAATGGAGTTCAATGGAGCTGTGAATAGAGCCAATGGAGCTCTGAATGGAGTCAACGGACAGAGCTCCATTACCAATTATAACTGTAACTTGAGAAATTAAGCAAAAGTATTGAATTCTAAAGTCGAAGTAAGTTTAGCAAGCTCTGCTTGACATGTGGCGGAAATATTTTTTAGTAATTATTGTGGAAATGAAAACGAAAAGTGAACCTGTTAGTAGGAATTTTTCATAATTGGGTTTAATTAAATTTCGAGAAAATGAACAAAATCGATCGACTTTATGAAAGAGTCGTTTAAATAGAATATATAGAGAGCAATTTAATTAAGTAGTTGAAATTTTGGCCCCATTTCAGAATGCTTTATACTTCCCTTTCTAGTAAATTAGTCGAAATAGTTCTCCCATTTTTTATCTCTTTTAATGATGAACTGACAGTTTGGAAGAAAAAAAAAAGGTCGTTATAAAAAATTACAAGTATATTTTTCATTATAGAGAGGTTCATTACATCCAGAGTCGACTTTATATGTCGGTCTCTATTCTAATCGAAATTTTACACAGTGCTTAGAGATAGAGAAGTATTCAGTTACACAAAATTCGTGAAATAGTAGTTACACGAAACTTGTGAATAATGAAAAATATAGCCAGAACATACCAGATATCCGTATAAAATCCAGATAATCATTCATTATCATTCGTGAATGACTAAAACCTGTGAATGGCCACAACGGATATTCAAAGGATCCAGCTCTACTTAGAGATCCAGTGTCGTCATAAAATGGTACGTGATAAAAGTTATATAGACCAAATTATAGAGATTGTACGCATTAAGAAAATTTCTATCCGGTTAACGGGTAATTTATTATAGCCATTTTTTATCCGGTACATACAATCATTATGATAAAATAATATGATACAGTATGATAATGTTATATTGCTTTACATTAAATACAACCTGTGATCATCGATAATGTGTATGTATATAGCTAGCGCACAATCCTAATCTAAATTGCTTCCCATAGTTAAGTCGAACAATAACCAAATTATTAGGTTTAGTCTTCGCATTTCGAATATCCTATTTAAATGATCATGAAATTTTTACCAATAAGTTCACTTTTCAGTTTCGTGTTTGTAGTATTCAAATTTTTTTTTTTGCATTGTGACGAATCATGATATCTCATGACCCCATAAACGATTTTTATTCTACTCGGTTCCATTCATGAATGGTAATTTTTTATAATAAAAATTTTTAATAATAGTAACTTCACAAGGATTTAACTAAATTTAATAAATTTTTTTAAAAATATTACAAGATTATAGAATTAATTTTTTTAAAAAAAAAATTTTATTAAATTTGGTTAAAAAAATATTTCTTGATTTCTATTGGCTCAACCCATATATTATTTTAAATTCATATAGATTATTTTTAATTTTTCATTCTTTCATTATATAGATGGGACTATTCCATACACAAGATTCTCAATTTTTTAAAGTATTGATCGACCTATATATGAAATTATACTGTAGAATATCCTAAAGTTTATTCAGCTTGCATAGATTTAATTAACGTAATTTACATGCTGCGGGGTCATCGTGAATTATAAATAAATGCCTATACGTATAGGTAAATTTTGAAATTTTGAAATGCGGAATCTGCATATTGCGGCTCGCAGACTTCATCTTAGACACTAATCTGTGTTAATCATTACTATATATAATATACTTTTAGGTTTTCTGAGGTCACTTATGCTGAAAATCTATAAAACAAATATCTGTATTCTAAATTGTATTTTAAATTTCACTATATACAATCAAATCTAAATACAGTATATTGTTCATGAAATTTGGGCTGTTCAAGCAGTTTCTTAAGAGAGTGCAAACGGAATCGCCAAAAAATTTTAAAGAATCGTCCCGGATCGTCCCGTACAGTCCTATTGTGATAATAATTATATATATATAGTTACGTATGATAATGACATAATTTTAATATCTATAAATAAATCATATATTGTCATATTACGTCATAAAATAAAAAAATTTTATAAAATTTATTCGTTATACAAGTTTCTTTATTAGTAAATTCTTTAATAATTGGGTACACTTAAAGGATGTTACAAATCAAAAATAAATCTATTGCTGTATTGATACTAGTGACATTAGCCCAGATATTCTATCATTTGAATATAATAGTAGAGATTGAATAATTAAATAATTAACGTATATATATTTTTATTATGTACGTAAAATTGGTATATATCAGTTATAGTATGAGTTACATATAAAGTCAAAACATAAAGAATATGTATACAATATTGGGCAAAAATTGTCGAATAACGGTAATTTGGCAAATGGGCGCGTGCCGCTTTGCGGCACGTGTAGCCAATCATTTGTCGAATTACCGTATTCGACAATTTGCCCAATATTGGTGTTATCCGGCAATTTATGATCATGATTGGTAGGGAGTCGCTCGCTGAGTTTTATTTTTTGAATATTGGAATAACATAATTATATCGTAACACATGAAAAAAATAACAAGAAATTTTTTCATGATCATATGAGTTTGCCGGATAACATAATATAAACAAATACGGCACATACACATGTCACGATATACCTTAAAAGGTACATACAATAATTAGTTACGATCCCCTAAATGCCTACTGCGGTTTCTCTAGCAGTTTCTACTGCGTCACTGGCATATACCAATCAGAGTATACTAATTACAGTCAATCAGCGTGAACGGATTCAATCGATATTTCGGTCGGATTCTTGGATCTGGATTCAGCAGACCAAATAACGGATCCGAATCAAGTCCGATGCTTTGATTAGCTTTAAGAAACTATATTATTAAATTAAATACTTTTGATTTAATGGTCCATTTTGGGTAATTTTTATGGCCAAAATGACCAACTAGCTCAAAATCGTTAAAATTCGATCGCGGAGTCATGAGATCGTTAAAGATCTGTGTTACAGATTTTTGGATGCAATCTCGTGACTTGTGATCGAATTTTAGCGATTTTGAGCTAGTTGGAATTGTTTCAATGAAGCGGTTATTTTTGTCTGTAAAATTATCCTAGAAAAAAGTCCAATTCCTCAAATTCACACTATGTTTGTAATTAGACCGATGTTGTGTACACTCCAATAAAATATATAGAATGATTAAATGATTTGATTTTATAGAGAGAAATGCATGCTTTACAACCAGATAATACATTTAAACAGTAGAATACAATGTTAAATCAAGTTTATATTGTTCTAAAAAGTTTTTTTTTTCGGTTTAAACCAGATATCAAGTGACTTAATCATCAAATGTTGCGATAATTACAAAATAATTGCGTAGTTTGTTAGGATAAGAGTTATATTACGTACTACGAAATAAATGCCATTGCTAAAATTATCCAATCAGAGATAATAATTCAATTTCAGCCATTAGTCGCCACAATCACCAATATTCTAAAATATGTTTTTAAAAAAAAACATTAAAAAATAAATCTTACCATCCCCAGATGTTACATTGATTTACATTGATTCCATTATGTCATAAATTTAATTGATCATAACCTATTTAGTACAGCAGATAACGTCAAAATAATTTTCGTTGGCTGGTTCGGCTGGTTCGATGCATGAGTATGTCACTAGTGTGTAATTCTTGTCTAATGTTTATACGTTTAATTTTTCTTTTTCTTTTTTTTTATTCCCAGGTATTGTAAAGTATTGTTTACCAAGAACGCCGAGTAGGCGTTAATTTTCAAATTTTGGGTAAATCAAAAGTATGGCCAAATATTTAGGTTTAGTCAAAATATTCTATTTAAATGAACTTGGTTTCCTTCCTTCAAACTCCAACGGTTTCTCGTAAAAATTTTAATAATTTAATTAAAACTTAATTAAAACTTAACTAAAACCTAATCATGAAGTTCTTACAAATAAATCCACTTCTCGTTTTCGTTCTTGTAGCATTCAATTTTGTTTATGCACAAACAGTAATACCGGGAAATGTCTCCACTTCATGTGGTGTAGAACTTAATAAACTTATTTTAACTCCAGACTACAGCACTTGTGCTTCATTTCTCAAGTTATTACCTTTGCAAAATACATCTGATCCAAAAAATGTCTTAGATGGTTATTGTTCCTCACCAAAATGCAGTGATAGCACCACCAATAACTCTGCTACCGAACTTAAAAATCTATGTCAAAAAGAACTTAACACGTCAAGTCCTGATCCTCAACTTATCGCCTTGAAAGATATTCTTATCTTCAATACCCCAATAGAGCAATCCTTGTGTTTAAAGAACTCTTCTGGAGGTTATTGTTATACAGATTCCGATAGTTCTGCGATATTCGGCTTCCTTAGTGGATTGAATGCTACTAATCCTCCCAGAGATATTAATTGTACCGATTGTAATAAAGCTATCGTAAACACTTTTGTGAACTTCTATAAAGCTCATCCTGAATCAACTCCTGAATTACCGGTTAGTCAGCAGGAATTGAACAATTTCCAAACTATGGTTTCAACAAAGTGTAATTCTTCTTTCATAGGTAAGTTATACATATATACATCTATTATTTTAAATTTATATATGAAATTATTTTTAATTTTTTCTTTTTTTTCATTATATAGATGGAAAGGTTCCAAATAACAATAATTCTCAACAACAAAAGAGTAGTGGCATCTCCATGCACACTCCATCTTATACTGGTTTTACAATGTTTGCAAACACTATCTTCGTAGCTTCACTTGTTATTGTAGTTTCTTATGTTATTTAATTAACTTAAAAAGATGTTTGTTCTATCTAAGAATGAAATTATAGGATATCCTAAAGTTTATGTAAGATTTAGCTTATATATATTTAATTAATAACGCCTGCGTTATTTAATCATATACAAATGATAATGGTTAAAATTTTTGCTTTTTTCATTTGTCGACAAATATTTTTATGATCTTTTATTTTATTATAATAAAAATAATTATAATATAACGTATATTATTTATCCATATATATATAGCAAAAACTTTGTTCACTATATTACATGTATATGTCTTGTTATGCTGTTGCGACCGATGACTTTATGATCTATCGTAGGTCATTTGGTCGTAAGGTGGATTAATGGTGGTAAAAACGATGCTCGGTCCCGCGATTCCGAACAAAAAACTCAGAATAACAAAATTAAACTAAAACTTTCTCTGCGAATTTTCCGATATCTCGCAATCTAAAAAATTGCTCGGAAGTCACGGGACCGAGAATCGTTTTTTGTAGGGAGTTAAGTGGTTCGTTCAGTCCAGTTCTGATTCAGTCCCAAGAGTTCAAGGAAAAACGAACTGAAGTTCATGAACTTTAGTTTAAAGTTCAAACTTGTGTTTGAATTTGTGTTCATAAACTCGAAGCATAAGCTTCAGGTTCGATTTAAGTTCAAGCTCGAGTTATGAACCTCCTAAGTTCATTTAATTTAATTAGTATGATAATCTTTAAGGTAGTGATCAAATGTGAATAAAACAAATTAAAATGATTATATATTCATTATTTTAAATATATAGTTTATATTAAATACTTTAATTAGATACATTTAGATGTATATATATACCAAATATAATAACGATCAATCCAAAAGTTATTGTACCAACAAAAACCTGTGCCTTTACAAGATTCTAACTATATTATTTGGTATTAAATAGCGTCATCAGAAATAAAATAAATTTGGTTAAATAACTTATTATAAAAAAACTGGGTTTCTAACTAGTTTTATAAATTAAGTTTATAAACTAGATTTATAAACCAAGTTTATAAGTTAGGTTATGAAACTGGTTCAAGAACTTCTAATTAATTTTTCTTTGAACGAACTAAAAAAACTAGTTTGAATCAGGTTCAAACTCGGTTCATCTGAACCATTTAACATCCCTAGTTTTTTGTCGCTACCCTAAGTAGAGGTAATTTCAACCACAACATATGCAAACGCACACTCCTCGAAAATTTATAAGGTACAGTATTCGCAACAGAAAGGGATCAAGATTGAAATTTTAAACTTTTATTTGATTCAGTGAATTTTTGAACGATCCATAATTATGACTTCCATAGTAAAGTTTTTTTATTAATGCTGCGGATTATTGACCTGCATACATGTGATTAAAGTGCTAGCGAAATAAAACTATAGTATTGAAATGTTGAATTGGTGAAATTGATGAAACCGGTATCTCTACGCGTGATCAAACTTTCAAATAATTCACATTACTAAGTTTTGCTCAAACGATGCATGTTTGTAAGTTGATTCTTCCTGCAACGTTATCAAAAAATCGCAACAATTAATCATAATATTAATGTTGTACATTGTATTAGTACAGTCTGACCTTTCTATATGCACACCCCCATAAATGCGCTTCGTAATTCAATGGTACCCCCAATAACACTCTAAATGCATTTCTTAGTTTAAGACAGCTTAATTATTTTTTATACATACTTATTATAATTATATACTATAGAAATAAATAATTAATTAGTTGACGAATTTATTTACCGTATTTTTGATGGATATAGGTATAATGAAGAATACAGCAGTTTATATAAAAGCCCTCTCTATAGCAAACTTACTCAAAATTACTAATAGACTTTCACAGTCCAATATATGAATCTCATTATTTTGGAGTGAGTCAGTAGAAAATGCAACATATTTTTCCTATGTAAATTTTTTTTAAATTTTAAGCAAGAATAACTCAACCAAAACTTGATCAAATTTAATGAAAATTTTTTTAAATTAATTCTAAAAACTTGTCTAAAAATTAAAAAAATTTCGCTAAAAAAAGATATGGTGCGTTTCTATTGACTCACCCCCATTTGATTGGTCAAACAGAGATATGCCGATGTGATAGATCGATATTCAATCGACATTTTTCACAGTCTGAGTAAATGCACATTTTAATCACGTTGTTCAGCACGTAATATGTGAAAAACTGTTACTGCGTTTCATATATATTATGTGTTGGTAATATATTGCGTGTTAGCCGAACTGCCGGGTGTTGGAATGAATGATATATATTGCTGTCGTCTTTTATATAATAAAAATCCGATCAAAATCCCAATAAATATAATTACACCTGCTCCAATACCAATTCCAATAAATATATGACGAGTCTGGCTGACTTGTTTGAGCTCCTTTATCCGGAGGCACAGAAGAACTAGTAGGCACAGAACTAGTATCTGGGATATTTCCATCTATATAATGAAAAGAAAAAAAATTAATTAGTACAGAGCAAAGCGAAGGACTACGCGAAGTGATAAAAATGTTTATCGACCAATCAAATCGTGTATATATTATCATACTATTTACTAGAAATTAATTTCACTAATTTTCACCAATTTACCAGTAGCGGTGAAATTATTTCTATTTTACTAGCATCTTTATATTGGGGTTTCAATTTTCGAAAATAAATAGGATTTTTTCAATAGCGCTTTTACTATGTTAAATTATAAATCGGAAAAATAAGATTATCTGATTTAATTTTGAAACCCAATTAATGTTGCTATATTATTGCAAATAAGCATTTAGCAGGCATATAATACCATGCATTTATATACCTAATTTATTGGGGTATTCGATGTACTATGTAGATCAAATTTATGTATAGTCTCATATTAAAAAAAAATATGATTTTTTTTTTTTATAGATCATCGATCATCAATAAATTTTTTATAAGTTATACGTATATCGAAAAAAAAATTATATACATATTAATTAATAAAAAATACATATTTCTTTTATAGACAGACTAACTTTTAAATAATTCTAAAAAAATTTTAGTTGCCTCTTCTTCACCATGTATTTCTATATCACCTTGCGAAGTTTCTTGCAACAGCCTTTTACGTTTTGCATGAACTTCTGAGATCCCTAAAGCAATATTTTCTTCGCTTATATTTCCGGAAGAAAGTTTTAATTTTGACTGTTTTAGATCCTGTGTCATATTTGGGTGAGTTTTCAAATCTAATTTATTAAAAAGTCCTTCGACTTGTTGTTGATGAATTATAATAAAATAAATTTGTTCTTTAACAAATTTATATAATAATGGGTACTCATAAATTTTGGAATTAGAAGCGAGACAAAATTTTTGAAATTCATCCTTAAATTCTGGGCAATTTAATAATTTATCTTGAAGGCCAAAGGTATTATTAATTGTTTTAAAATCATCATATAATTGTTGTGCAAAATTAATTTCATTTTCTGTTGGCTCTGAAAGCCATGATTCAAAAATTACATAGTAGAATGCTCATGCAAATTCGTGGCCGGAATCTCCACCTAAATGGCAAATTGATAATGGTAAATGTATTCATGGAGACATCCATTTTAAAAAATGGTCATACGCCTTATTTATTCCTCGTTCCAACTTGTCAAATAGCTCACTAAAATCTTCATTATTTAGAGATTCTAATGCTATTAGTAGTTCTTCTCCGAAAAATGAGTCAAAGTTTTCTTTAAGCTCATTTAAATAATTAATCTATTCATTTACTTTGTCAGGCATCTTATGGGCACGATGACCTGATGGAAGTTGAATCAGATGATTATTTAACTAGACGCGAGGTATTGGGTCTTTTCCAACTATAAATTACATTAATAGCTTATACAAATACTCTCCAAATTTAACTAAACACTGAATTTGAATGTTCAATTTTTTATCTAGAAGCCAATCTTGAAATAATCGCCAATTAGAAAGATATAACTCTGGCGTATTACAGTTATTTTCGAGTGTTTGGATAAACCAATTGGCAAATTCTATGTGTGCTTCATGTCGTTCCAAATATTGTCTAGTGGCATGCAATTCATAGCCCAACATCCTCTAATCGGCAATTGATACTGTAAAAAATTGTATCCTAATAACTTACTATATAATTGTCTTATCCATTCTGATTTTATGTTAAGAGGCTTATCCTTGTTACTTACATTATATCCATCATGTAGGTACCACGATAGATATAGCAAGTTAAACAGTTGTGGCTTTCTGGAGAATCCAATTGAAGCAGGTAATTTTCCAAAAGCTTCTTCCTCAAAATGCATTAGGACTATGTGCATTATATGTAGTCCACAACTAATTCTTATTGTGTTCACATTAGCTTTTTTATTAAATTGAATCATAGCGCCTTTTCGGTTACCAGATATATATGCCGTATTGTCAGTTACCCAAGCCTAACACCTTTTTGGATCAAGCCCATGGTTTATGATTGCATTGAGAACGTTATCTGATACCAATTTGCTGTTACAATTTTTTATATTTGAAAGATTTGTTACAACAACTGATGGTATATTTTTACTATTATCTCAAAACATAATACATATAATAAAATGTTTAGTTTCTTCATGGGTTGACTCATCAACAAGAATGCCGAACTTTGAACATTGGGTAATTTGATTTATCATGAATTCAGTTTCAATTTGTGAAACTTCTTGGTGCCAAGTGCTTAACATAGATACCGATAACTATTTTTGTGAAGGTTCCCCGATTAAAAATTCGTAAACAAGACGCAATGATTCTACAGTAGCATTTAACGAGGTTTGTCTGATCTGTGAAATTTTTGTCGAAAGCCAACCCATTTTTGGTGAATATTCATGATTGTTTGTTTTAAATAATGTTTTAACTTGCTGTTTAAATTCTTCATTAGATATTTTCTTTCGTCTACGTATTAATGATCTGATGGTTGAAACCTGTTTATCTATTCTATTTTTTAGATGCCGATTTGAACTGCTTATGGATTGAACTTTATTTATTAGATTTTGATTACTTCTAGATAATTTTTGGTTTATGGATTTTAGTTGTGAGTTCTCAGTTTTTAAAAAATTTGACTTTGTTTTTACAATTATCGGTGATATATTCAAAAGCTTTCTTTTAGTGATATGCTGAAATTATTTCACCTTTATATTTTCCTTTTGGGTTTCACATTAATTTAATTAAATTTAATGCATTATTTTTTTGTAGA